AGATTGATAAGAGATGAATTAGAAACTCCTGAAGAACGTGAACAACGTTTAAAATTGAATAATGAGTTTGAATCAATTAGACGGCGCAAACGGTGTCAAAATGAAACTAATGAAGAAAGAAAGCGTCGAAAACAACAGAAAAGAAATGCTGATAAAATGTAAGGATAACACTCATATTCTGTCAAAACTATATATATGTATGATCGACTAAAGGCGTCGTAGAAAAGTTACAGAATCTTCAAGCGAAGTATGGCCAAAAATTGCAACAACTGAAATAAAACATCGTTGTCTTAATGCGTTCAAGGATGGTATGTCGAATTACGTAGTGCATCAAATTATTTGTGCGATATGCGCATGCTTACATTACAAATCAGAAAGTGTTGAAATGAATATTGCAGAAATTCCAAATCAACATTTATTATATCCAATTGATGAAATGCCTTCATGTGTTAGTCGTATAAATATTGAGATTGACTCAATCAGTGGCAATGTTCAGATGTCAGGTTAGTTTTCGAAATAGTAGTTTAACATCAGATTTAATGATAAAGTTTCCCTATTATATAACAGAGGAAATTCAAGAACGTCTTATGAATACTAAAGATAACAGTGTCATTATCAATAAAATGCTACTTTGCCTGAAGGCAATCGATTTAACAACCGGATTTGCATATTTATGTAATAAATGTCACAAATATTTATTGATGAATAAACTACCTTCTTTATCATTAAATAATCTAATGTGGATTGGTGATGTTCCTGAAGAGTTGCAAGGTTTAACTTTGCCAGAAGAAAAATTAATTGCATTAGTAAATCTTTGTCATTTGTAAATATAGGATTTAATTAAGTTTCGTTTGTCTAGTATCGACATTCAAGCTGTGTTATTAAATTATTTAGTATTACAGGTGATCCATCTTTAGCACAAACAGCACTGAAGGGGAACGTGATAACTTTTCCTCAAAATATATCAGACATTGCAAGATGCCTTCCGTTATCACTGAATACACTTCCAGAAATTATTAAAATTATATTTGTGGGTCGAACATTTCCAAAAAAAGATCGAATACGATCGATTCTGACCGTTCGTCGAGATATTGTTCGAAAAGCACTTATCTGGTTGAGTAAAAACAATATCTTATATAAAGATGTTTATATTGATGATTTGTTAATTGATACTTTACCAATAAATGATGTACCTGATTGTTTATGGAATACTATGTCGTTGGTAGATGAACAGCAATCTTGTAATGTTGAACGATCTGGCTATGTGAACAGTAATTTAGATTCAGATGACGTATGTTTTACAGATATAGTTTCATTGAATGCAAGTGGTTTAATGGATACAAATACTACAGGAATATCGTCCAGTGATATTCGACAACATTTAAGACAACGTATTAATATTACCGAAGAATTGACAACCTTGAATGATAACATTTATCTTGTACCACATGGTAAAAATCCAGTCAACGAATACTTCAACACGTCATTCTTACCAGGTATAGATATTAGTTAAGTATTGATACATACGTATTTAACATCCTGTATTTTGTTTATAAAGGTTTATATCCAACTTTATTTCCATATGGAGTCGGTGGAGTTGAAGACGAACGAAGGCAAGTGCGTGTACCATATGGAAAACATATTCGTTATTTGTTGTCATATCATGATCATCGTTTCGAGATGAATACTTCATTTATATTCGTTACTTTTAATATTTTACAACGACGAACAGCATGTGCCAAAGCACGTATACTTGTATCAAGACCATATTTTACTTCACAATCTATTGAAATTAATCAATTGACAGCAGCTGAAGTGAAAATCGCTCTAAATCAAATTGAATCAAATACATTCACTTATAATTCAAATCCACGTTTATCTGCTTTATTGAAACAATTGAAAACTATTTCTGGCAGTGTAATGGGATCAAATCAATCACGTGCTAATTATCGTGTCGAACTGCATTCTCAAATATTTTTTTCAGGTATTTTAAAAGAACGTCGCCCAAAAAACCGTACAACTCCTGAGGAACTAATTTTTTTTTTGATTTTTTTCACCCAAACGAAAGATCATATCGTGAAACTTATAAATCTAAAATATTCAGTCTTTCTGACTTATCTTTGCAAAATGCCGAAGGCTACAATTCTCGAAATTTTGGAGATAGATCTCAAATATTTTTTTCAGGTATTTTAAAAGAACGTCGCCCAAAAAA